TACGTATCCTTTCGCCACTAACGTCATCCTCGCCCCAACGTCATCTCGGCCAAACGTCTTCGCTCCCAAGTCATCTCGCCGCGAAGTATCCTTCGCCCCAAACGTCATCCTGCGCCCCCAACGTCATCCTCGCCCCAACGTATCTCGCCCAACGTCAATCTCGCCCCCAACGTCATCTCGGCACCACGGTCATCCTTCGGCACACGTCATCTCGCGCCACCAACGTCATCCTAGGCCACGAAGTCATCCTCGCCACGTCATCCTCAGCCCCAACGTCATCCTCGGCCCGCCAACGTCATCCTCGAGAACGTCATCCTCGTGCCACGAACGTGCATCTCGGGGAACCAAGTCATACTCGGCACAAAAGTCATCATTCCGACGAAACGTTCATTCCTGCCACCAACGTCATTCTCGCGACCACGTTCTCCGCCACAACGTATCCTCGCCACCAACGTCATGCCATCGCACGGAACGTCATCTCGCGCACAACGTCGCATTCTCGCCACCAACGTCATCCTCCGCCACCACGTCATCCTCTGCCACCAAGCGTCATCTCGCCAACAACGTTCATCCTCGCCACCAACGTCATCTGCCCAACGTCATCCTCGCCCAACGTCATCCTCGCCGCGAACGTCCATCCTCGCCCCCAACGTCCAATCCTCGCCAACGTCATCGCTCGCCCCAACGTCATCCTCGCCCCAACGTCATCCTCGAGCCCAACGTCATCCTCGCCCAACGTCATCCCGCACAACGTCATCCTCGCCCCCAACCGTCATCCATCGCCCAAGTATCTGGCCACAACGTCTCTCGCAACCAACGTCATCCTCGCACCAACGGTCATCCTCGTTCAGTCCGTCATCACCATGCCGCGTCATCCATTCCGGCGTGATTCTCAAACCAGCGTCTTACTACCGCACACCGCACGGAACTTCTGTCCTGTTTTTCCTCCGGCGCGCTCGCCACGTCCCGCCCCGACCGCGGCCGCCGGGGCCTATCGCCTCTCCCCGCGTACGAAGGCGGCGCGGCGTGATATATTTGTAAACAGCCGGGCGCCGAAATAAGCCGAGGCCATCCGCGGGAAAAATCGGCGTTAACGGAGACGCCCGGGCGCTTTCTGGCGTCGCCTTTAACTGACGTGGCTTAGCGCCGGCGCGCCGTGGCGGGGCGCGGAGCAAGGGGCTGGGGTTGGGGTGGGATTCGGAAGAACGGAGACGCTGAGGGGTGCGGAGGTTTGGCGAGCGCGCGAGAAGAGGCCTCCTGAAAACAGCGGCTGGGAGCGAGATATGGCGACAGCAAGACATAGTGAAAGGAGACAGTGCAATTAGTCAGGAACAGGCGGAGGGGTGTTCTATGTAAGAAAGGAAGAAAGAAAGAGCAGAAAGTGTTTGAGTGAGAGCCTGATACTGTTGCAGAAAGGTTGGTATAAAAGACCAACAAATGCTTTGTTACGTTGAAAGGCATGAATGGAATTCACAGACAAAGTCAATAATGCCATTAGAATCAAGACTTTGGATAAAAAAATGAAACCCGGCTAAATGAAATGAAAATATTATCATAATAGTGAATATTTTAACAAAATGGAAGCAATTCAAAGATTAATTATGATAAAGGTACATTGCGCGCCATTAATAGGGCTTCCAAAAGGACAGGATGACATGGATGTATAAACTTGGCAAAAACGACGTGAAACGTGTTTGTTGATCTCACGTATACTTTATGATTTCGCGTCGGATTAGAAATGTGCGCCGCGAAGTTGAGTTCAAAGCATTGTCTCACATTGTTTATTTTTAACATCATAGTTACTACCTTAATACACGTATTTTTGATCAACACTACCATCACAAACCGCCTTCACATACCTAGCGTCCATTTTATCACTGCTTCAGCTGCCTTCTCCACAAATTCTCGGCAGGCCGGTACTGGGTCTGGCGTTAGCGGGGCGGGGCAGGTGCAAGGCGGGCCGAGACGAGCGAGAAGCCGGCCATTCTGCGGGCCTAATCAGGCAGGCGCTTGGGCCGTGCGGCGCACGACGGAAGGGCTCCTCCGCCCGCCTCTCCCCGCCGCCGCGCGCCGCGCCGCCGCTGCCAGCGTCTAACGAGGGGTTCGTTACGATCTGGCAGGAGACGGCTGCTCCCGCCGTCGCGCACGCGTGCCTCAGGCGGTGGCCTCCAACTTAAAACGTCGCCGAACTTCCACGGCCGCTGCTGCGGGTCGCGCGGTCACCGAGAAGCTCTACTATTTAGCTGCGGCAGTCACATTCACTGGTGGCTTTTGGGGAATGTGACGGCAAGTCCAGTCCGTTGTGAGTTTTGTTGTTTCCTAGGGGTCTCAGTCATCTTTCTCATTAGTGACAACATAAAAGAAGTCACCTACGTTTCTGCTAATCCAATGAGGATGATGGGTTTGCAGAGCTGGTGATGGAGCAGTGAGACCAGGTGGTGATTTGTGCCGCCACTTAGTAGTTATAGACAAAGGTCAGAGAAGTTCTGTATATTAGTGGACGGTGGGTGGTATTTTTGGTTGTGGGTGGTTGGCGGGTGTTGGGTGGGTGGTGGTAGTGAACGGTGGTGGTGGGGTGGTGGGTGTAGTGTGGCAGTGGTGGTGGTTGGTGGTAGATGTGGTGGTGCAAGTGGTGGTGTGGGTGGTGTGGTAAGTGTTGGTGGAGTGGTGTGGCAGGGTGGTGGCGTAGATGGTGTGCATGTGGGTGGTAGTAGTGGCAGTGGTGGGAGGTGGTTGGGTAGTAGTGGTAGTGGTGATGGTAGTGGCAGTGGTGGTGGTGGTGGTGGTGGTGGTAGTGGTGGTGGCGGTGTTAATGGTGCTTGTAGTGGTCATGGTAGTGATGGTGGTGATAATGGAGATGGAGGCGGCGGCGGCAAAAACTACAAACAGCAGAATAACTATGAGTAACGTGACGACAAAAATAATAGTTTTGAATGGAGAGAAGATGAAGTGGATGCCACACACGTGGAAAAAGGGAGAGATGAAAGGAGGCAGAGGTGACAGCAGCAGCAGTAACAATGGTCTGGCTACGTCGTGGGCAGCGTTGGCAACGGCTCCTGCAGCAGCGTCGTCACTAGCGACGGCGTCAGCGTCTCGCGCGTAGTTAATTTGAGGCGTCGAGCGCGCGGCGGCGGCGGCGGCGGCCTGGGCGCCAGGGCGGGTGCGTCGCAGTGTCCTCTGCAGGTGCGTGCGCGCCCGCAGACTATGCTAATACGCGGGATCCACTTCATCCCCTGGAAAATCCCGCGCTTACAATGTAACACCCGCGTTCTTGCGCTCTTAAACCACGTAATCACTTTTAACGCTTTCCTTTTAAGATCCTTCGGGGTGGAGGGAGTAATAAATTCTGGACCTACATATTCATTGCAATTTACGATGCTGAATATTTGTTTTAAACAGTAGTTATTTGTAACCTATCTCCTGTTTTAATCGCAGTTATGCTGTTTTAAACGAGCCAACATTAAACAACAATACCAAACTCATATTAGACAAAACACTGGTAGTCGCCTCAAAATCACACAAAAACTTGGCTAATCAACATCATAAAAACTGCAAGTAATTGCTGGGCATGATAAATTGTTTTCACTTCATTCTTCACTTTTTAGAATTCTTGATCGCAGACTTGATGTATTCCATTCAAGTTGTACACATATCCTCCTACCATTCAGTTAGCTTTTCTAATGAACATCATTGAGGGAGTATTTTGGATATAAAGTACAAATACTAATTAGCGTCTAACTTAATTTTTCGAATCACATTTTTCTATACACCATCTATCGCTTCTTCACGGTGTCAAAAGAGAAATCTCAATAAAAATAAAAAGTGGTTTTAGAAAACAGAAACCTATAAGTATTTATTTCTATACTGTATTTTTCCCTTCAAACATTTTTCTTAATTATTTTTTTTGCTATCCACAAAAGCAGCAAATAGAACAAACTAAGAAACATAAACTATTTCACCTAAACTAATAGTAAACGTATTATTAGTTAGACAACGTAATTTTGTGATTTCAGCGAATGTACTATTAGCAAATTAAATTAGTTCATTAAATTTCTAGTAGTTCTTTGCCTCACTGCACGTCAAAACAACCAGGTGTTTGGGGAGGTAGGCCTATTAAGAACAATTAAAAGTTATCATCGACCTTTACAAATCTGGCCGTTATCTTATTAATTTTCATTTCGCGATACATCT